CGCATGCGACGTGCAAACATGGGCGTTAATTGTCTGTGATTTCGAATGTGGCTGTGAGCGTTAATTATATAGGAGGGGTTGTTCGGCTTGTAAGATTTATGAAGTCATCCACATCCACAGACTCCTCCTCATCCCCTCTCCTCCAAAATACCTCGGTGCAGCATTATCATCTCCTCCACTTCTGCCACCCTCACCTACACTTCCAACTGTTGATGCAACTACCACAGCCTCCTCGCAACCCACTGACTGACAATCTCGCCCATCCCATAGCTCTTGTCGGCAGTCAGTGCCGCGGTTTCCTTCAAAACATTGGTCACATGGAGTAGCCGTAAAATGTCTACCATGGTGTAGAGAAAGCAGAAGAGGCGAAATTGAATTTGGGGATGGGAAGGGAGCCAAAGCAAACTTAAATAGACAAGCAAAAGAGGAAGCAAAACGCGAATCCGTTTGTTCGAAGGCATCGTCATAAACGCGATTGCAAATAGTGTGAGGAATTGACTTAATGGATTGGTTTCAATGATTGCGAAAGCATTTAGAAGGGTGATGTTGGTGAGGGTTGTGACATTGCACGTGTAAGAAGTGCGAATAATGTGATAAAAATGTTGCTGCAGCTGCACCTAAAATGAAGCAGTGGTAACGGAAGGGGGCGGAGGAAGGTTGTAGGGTGGAGTTCGAAGAAGGTGACAACCAGTATTTGTGAGATAGGCGACTCTCAAGCCTTGATCACATGTCTCGCGGTTCCTCCGGACAAGAGAATAGCAGATCAATGGCTGCGGCACCAAGATAAATGATGTGTTTGAGGAGGAAGAAGATAATGTCTGAAAACGGGAGTGCGCATCTACTTATTTGTTGCAAGTAGCGTTGCCTTTGCTTGGAAGGTAATTACAGAGTTGCATTTGCTCGTCAGTTGACTTTATTCATCCCGAAACAAGGTGGGTAACTGCATTAGTGTTGTGCTGCTGGAGGGAATGGGTGGGTAAACATATCCGAAGTTGGCGCAACATGAGCTGTCTTGTTGTAAAAAATGAGCCGACTAATTTACGAATCCTAGGCTAACCGGTAACCCTTTTTGAAGTCGAGCTCATGGAAGTCTTAGGTTTGTCTGGGCAAAGACAACTGAGATGCGAGTTATTCTGCTTGGAGCCGTCACTTGAATCGACTTGATAGATTAGATTTTAGCTTGCGCTTAGGAGGTCATTAACAAGGCCTCTATGCATGTGGTTGTAGGCAAAAAGGTACGCATTACGAGCGTACGCTTGGCCTTGACTCAATGGTCCTCCTCAAACATGGTTTTGTAAGTTTTATTTTAGTCGCCTCATAGTCTTGTGCTCTCAGTGCCGTATTTGATACGTACATGGGCGTACAGTGCCATTCCAGATCAACGTCTCGTGAATATGATTTTATAGCAAGCCGACGCTGAATGCCTCCGCTCTGCAACTTGTGGGCATTTGATTCTCCTCCTCATTTAGGTGATCACCAGCGGCCCGACCGTTTGTTTTCGACTCGTGTTTAGTGTTCTTTATGTATTCCACATTCTTTGCTTGCATGCCCACTTGTTCGGTTTCCACTAGTCATCCTTATTTTTTCCACCTTAGATTCCGTTACTTTCTCATGTTCAACTACGGTCTCATCAATTTTGACATCTGAGCGCAAATCGTATTGATAGATGAATTAACGCTAAGGATCTCCAGGTGTATGAAATTTCTATTCCAACTGACATCAGCAGCACAGCAATTCGAATGATTTGTCCTGTATGTTCCATGGGCACGACAACGCAATAGGCTAGCTGCACTTCTGTCTATACTTGTCTCCTCTTCGTCAGCATCCGCACGTCTGCCTCTATGTCCTCTGCCTCACGTACCAAGCGCT